GGAGGTGCTGCCAGGAGGCAGGCTGGGTCCAGGACCTGCCATTACAGCCAGGTCTGCAGCCAACCTTGGGACTCCATCCAGCCCACGCCCGCCCGCCCATGCTGAGCCGGTGTGTGTCAAAAAGGGAAAATACTGTTCACAAACAAAGCTGACCCAAACCAACGGTTCCTTCCTCCCAGTGACTTTCCCCACAATTTCTGTTGATTGAGAAAAAGACTGTCCATTTTCCATGGATAGAAAACCCGACTGTCTCTCACTTTTATACTCCAGTGCCACCCCCCTCCCCCCATTTTGGAAAAAGGTAGAGGGATGAGAAAAACCAAGGGTGTGGGATTTCACTCACCAAAACCCGAACACACAGCTCAGAAGGGCTGGCTGGAAAATTCTTTTCTGGAAGTTTTCTTTTGCTGGAAACGTTCATCAACCCCCCCTCCCAGCTTTTTCTCAGAAAGCTCTGGACCCGCTTTCAGGGACGTGTTTTCCCTGGGCCATTCCAAGGGGTCTCCCAAACCAATTGTTTATCCCCTCAACCAGCTGGGGAGTTGACTCTCCTGAGGGCCTGAGCCGTAGCCTGCCTCACCCAAAGCAAAGCCTCGCCCCTCTCCTCCCCTCGGCTTTGGATAAGGCCCTGGCTGAGCTACCCGATGCCCTGGGTACCACCAGATGAGACCTTCCTGAGGGGCCGTGGGGAACCCGTTAACCCCGCTGCGCAGTGGTTCCCCTGCAAGCTCGCTGGCTCCTGAATGCGGCTGGGAAGCGGGGACTCAGCCCGGCTCACGCCCCGCCCAGCAGCCAGGGCAGGATAAACCGTTCTACTCCCTTGCTTGTGCTTCTGGAAAACCAGTGCCAAAAACTCCAGAGTTAATCCCCCCCCCTCCCCACTTCTGACATGTGGGGAAGGCCCGTCAGCTCACACCAGAGCTGGGAGGGGAGGGGACGCTTGGCACTCTAGGAGCAGAGGAGTTAATGGACCTAGACTGTAGTCCAATGAGCATCAGGACCAGGACCAGGACTGCATTATGAAACTGGGGGCCTCTTAGCCGAGGGTCCTGTGCTGCAGCCCCTAATATCCCCGTGCGCTGTGGCTCTGCCTGGCTGGGGTGAGTGTGTGAATTGTGGACAAGAGGAGTGGGGCAGGGCAGGGCCTGCAAACAAGGGGGAGGGTGGAGCCACCTGTTCCCCCTCCCCCCAGGAGCTGTGCTAGGTAGGGACCCAAATCCCCTGCCCACTCTTGCCCCCCACCTCCAGCTTGCTGCAGTCCCCCCCCTTCCACTCAGATCCCACATCCCTAGCCCGCTCCTACTCCCACCTCCCACCTAGGCCCCGCACCTCCAGCCTGCTCCCACCCAGGCCCCGCACCCTCTCCCTGGCAGCCCCCCCCCCCACACCTAAGCCCTCATTTTTGATCCACCCCAGAGCCTGGGTTTCCCACTAAATCTACTAGCCCAGGTCCCCAGAAGAGTTCATCTGGCCACGACCAACCCAGTCGAGCTTGGTTTGAGGCAGACCTGGAATCTTCGGCTACGTCTAGACCACATGGCTCTGTTGACGGAGCCACATAAAATAGTTTATTCGGCATAGTCAAAGAAGCGGAGATTTAAATAATCCCCGCTTCATTAAAATAAAAATGGCTGCCGCGCTGTGCCGATGATCAGCTGATCCGGCACAGCGTGGCAGTCTAGACGCGGCGCGGTAGACAAAGAATCAGCTGATCGTTGGCCATTTTTATGCCTTCCTGTAAGGAACCCTACGGCTCACCCAGACCTCCCAGAATGCAACACCCCCCACTGGCGCAGTGTCTGTTTTAGTGGGGGAGAGAAGGAAGTAGAAGATCAGACCAAAAGGAAAGAAATCACAGCCCAGGTTTTCAGAGCCACACAGGCACGCACGTTGCATTTACCGAGATTGCACGTGCGACCGCAGCGAGCGTGCATCCTCATGGCCACAGTATTTATCCTTCTGGGGCCTCATGGCCACAGTATTTATCCTCATGGCCACAGTATTTATCCTTCTGGGGCCTCCTGCTCTCGTCCCACTTAGAGCTTCACGAAAGCTTAAAACTCATTGGCTGTGTCTAGACTGGCATGATGTTCCGGAAATGCTTTTAACGGAAAACTTTTCCGTTAAAAGCATTTTTGGAAGAGAGCGTCTAGATTGGCACGGACGCTTTTGCACAAAAGCACTTTTTGCAGAAAAGCGTCCGTGCCAATCTAGACATGCTTTTGCGCAAAAAAGCCCCGATCGCCATTTTCGCCATCGGGACTTTTTTGCGGAAAACAAATCTGAGCTGTCTACACTGGCCCTTTTGCGCAAAAGTTTTGCACAAAAGGACTTTTGCCCGAATGGGAGCAGCATAGTATTTCCACAAGAACACTGACAATCTTACATGAGATCATCAGTGCTTTTGTGGAAATTCAAGCAGCCAGTGTAGACAGCTGGCAAGTTTTTCCGGAAAAGTGGCTGATTTTCCGTAAAAACTGGCCAGTCTAGACACAGACATCCTGTGCTTCTGGCTTCCCTGCAGAGCTCACATTCTGCTGCCCCCTTCCAGAGGACGGCCCCCCTCTCGGGTAGGCACTAGCTCAGTGACCTTGGCTTTGCAAGGCTCCACCCCTTACACTGCTACTAGCGGTGAGGCGATCGGAGGAATATCCTAGCCCTCAGGGGTGTTCCCACCCCCGTTTGTTCTGACCTGTCATCGTGCATGGCGAGCGGTTGACTGCGAACGTCACATGCTGCCATTTTCACTCCCTGATTGGTTAACAGACACATTTCAAATGGCAGGCGGTGACAAACCTAATATATATTTGAAGAGCTTGTTCGTTTGCGGATCTGTTTGTGCAAAATCAAGTCTTTCTTCGCTATTACCTACAGAAGCCAAATTTTGCATAAACAATCCTGCCACTTAAATGAGCGGAACGCCCTTTTTACACCTTTTTACTGGGTGAAAAGGTGTAAATCAGTGTTTCTCACATCCCTAGTTCGCAGAGCACTTTAAGCGACTAGGCAAGACCCAATAAGCCTAGGCTTATCGGGTAACCGAGTCACTACTCGACTACTCGCTTCCCCGCTGCTCCTGTTGGCTGCAAACCGCGGGCAATGGGATAGGGTTGCCAGGTGTCCGGTACTGACCTGGGCAGTCTGGTATTTTTGCCTCCCGTCCGGTAAAAAAAAATTCAGAAAATACCACATCCCTAAAATGTCTGGTATTTTCTGTTTTTTCCCCCTGCCTGCCAGGAGGCAAAAATACCAGATACCTGGCAACCCTACAACACACTCAGCAACTGGGCCCAGCCCCCAGGCTCCCTCCCTGCCCCC